ACTTACATCGATCAGCTCTTCATGAGTTTCCTCCTCTTCTGACCCTGAATCCTCCTCATCGGTTGATCTGTCCTCCATAACACGGCTCATGAACCTCCTCCACGGTCAAATGTTTCTGCCTCCTCATTTTGCTGCCTGTCTCTCCCAGAATAAAATGTGAAATGCCCCAACATTTGTGAGAAAAGGCCTGTTTGTTTGTGACTTGACAATTGATTGATCCAATACATCAAAGGTGTGTGTATGTGTGTGTGAGTGTACCGTAACTAGGGAGGGACTAAAAGTTGAAATGCCCCAGCAACCGTGAGAAAAGGCCTGTTTGTTGTTCGTTTATCTTTTTTGTTTATGATTTTTGTTGATCTAAAAATTGCTTGATCCTATACATCAAAAGTGTGTGTGTGTGTGCGCGTGCGTGCGTGCGTGTGTGTGTGTGTGTGTGTGTGTGTGTGTGTGTACCCGGAAGAGCAGGCAGGGGGTTGTTGCAGCATTATGCTGAAAAAAAGTGCCCCATTGCTCCACTTTGTCCTGCGGGGTCATTTTTGACCCCAGAGGGCTTAAGGTGTTATAAAATACAAAAAACACCCACAATTCAATGAAATTACTTCAAATGTATTTTAATCGTTAAGAGCATAGTATTGAATAACCCCTATCATTTTCAGAACATTTGATGAATTAAAAACCTATTTTTGACAGCAATAGATTTCCTTTTGGGGTCAAAAATGACCCCAGGACAACAGGAGGGTTAAATCAAACGCAACATAAAAAGATGTGTATGAGATTTAAATGTCCTTAATTAAACCACTATCTGATATTCATTGTATATAAAAAGGACGTTGAGTAATGCCACATAATAAATAGACTCAAAGCAGAGTTATTTTAATACATATTTATTGGAAATGTCGAAATAAAAATACATTTTTCAAGAGAAGACATATGTTTGACAGTTTATCTTTGTCAGAGAAAGACACATATAAGTGACATAAGTTAGTTTAGCTTATACATGTGACATGCAATAAATAAATGGTCATTACAGTCGAACCTAATGCACATTTTCTTCCTTTATTACACATCGGAGCAGCGGCGGTGTAAACGGATATCTCCTCTTTTGAAATACACAAAGGCTAGTGAATAGATTGGACTATCAATTGGGAATACAAAAATAGAACCAGGAAGTATTTCATGCTTTAAAAGCAAAAGGACAGACGACAGCAAACACAACTGTGTACTTAATTTTGTGCATCTTAGCCTCCTTGAAATGCAGAACTTCATCTAAGCGGCAGACATTCATTTATTTCCTTTTTGTTTTATGTCTTTTGTGACAGAAGTAAACCCCTTCAACAGACCGCAGGACAGTGCTCTGTGCGGCACAGACTGACAGGGCATGCAGGAATCTCTCCGTCAATACTGGAACACATAAAGAATAGAGCAACATCTCTACAAAACGTTATTCGTAAGAAAAGAGGCGACTGAAACAGGCCCCGAGAACAGATTTGAGCGCCTGGCTGGAAAGCACTGAGGACGACTGGAATATAAGTAGCTGCTGCATGGAAGTAGTAATGTGCACTGTTACATATGCTGTCAGTCAGTAGTCCAGGCGACCCCTGGAATGAAACCAGCCACTGCTATCTATGTATTCCTCTGGAGTGCTATGGATGATTTGAGGATATTTTTGGGGCCTCTGGCTTCCTATTGCGCCTGATAGAGTGGTGCAGGAATGAGTCCTGAAACCAGTCAGCATTTTAACGCTTCTGGTTTCCCTCATTTAAAACTCAACGGTATTTCTAACGTGATTGTGGTTTGAATGCCTCAATTACGCTCTGTGGTAAAAAAAAAAACTAGTTTAAAGTGGACCTATCATGCTATATTTGAATAATATAGTGTAGGACCATACCTATATAAGGTATATTTCTACGTTTTATTTTTCAAAATACCAAACAGATCATGCATTTTATCCATTCCTCATTTCGCTCAATTTAACACTGCCTTTCATGCTCGGATTCAGTGAGAACAGCACCATCTGGTGGCCTGAAATACGTACTAAAGCGTCTCCAGCGCTTTCGAACAGCAATGTCCGTGGCTGTCTCCTCCTGATTGGTGGAGTTGGCCCAATAGCCGTAGCGCCACCGTCCTGACGTCAGAAAAGTGTTCTAATCTGGATCAGTCTGTATCAGATCCGTTGCAGCCCCTTTTTAAGAGATTTGGGTATGGAGGAAAATAGAGAGGGTTGTGTTTTCTGACTCTTGGTGAGTTCCCTGGAACACCGGGGACACATATTCATGTAGAAAAGACGTACAAAGGTGCATTTTGCATGATAGGTCACCTTTAAGTGATTTTTATGGTTTGTTTTTGAAGTCATGTGACCCATGCTGTAGTTTGTTTTCAGCCTAAAGTTATTGTTTTTCTTCTGGCGATTGCATTTACGCTTCAAAATACTTCAGTAAATACACCACTGGTACATTTCTGAAGCCCTTATTTGTCAGTGATTGTTAAGAAGAGTCTAAAAAAAGACTACTTAACGTCAACTTTAGCAGCCGTTAGCTTAGCGGTGGAGACGTAATGTCATGGTTCGTTTGAAGCTAACGTTAGATTTTTACTTCTGGAGATTGCATTAATGCTTATAATATCATAAAGTGCCATTAGTATTCAGAGATTATCCTGCTGAATAAAATGTATAAGTATCATAAAAATGTGTTCGCCATGGATCTTATTTTCTGGAATATTTTAAATTCCAATGTAAAAATCCCATTGGCTTTTTGTCAGGGAGAAACTCTCGCAATGCTAACTTCCATGTTGGCCTGCAGAAATTCGCTATTACTGCACCACTCTATATATGCGCCACAATAATAAAATGATTTATTTATTTAAAGGCAACAATGTCTTCAGTGAACTCAGTAGGAAATGAGTGTATCTTTGTAAACGTGTGCGGACTTAACTAACAAACACGACTATTTACACGTATAAAATGAGTGGCAAGTCTACTTATGGTTATTTGAATCTTTTTTATCTCAACCTTTAATAGCCCTTGAAGAAGCCTTTGGCCACCAGGGCTTCTTTAATCGTCACCGTCAGACAGTTGATCGTCACGTCAGTAGATATCACCTTTCTGGGATGTTCGTCCTCAGCGGGATCAGCAGGCGTTGTTTCCGTTTCGCTCTGATTGTCGCTACCTTCTTCCTTCTTATTCGCCGGCTCCTCAGTGGTGGAGCCTGTAGTGTCGCTTCTCCCTCGGAGACTCACTATCACCGAAGTTGTGTTGTCGCGTTGAGAAACGCTGCTCTCCAATTTGGGACACTCCGACTCTACTTCATCCTCACTTTTGAACCAATCTGACTCCACGGAAACCTCATCGTCCAGTGTAGCCTTGGGCGTTGAATCCCTGTCTTTTGATTGGTCGCACACAACGGTTTCAATCGTTTCCGACGTCCACCCTCCCGGTCTGTCAGTCCATGTTTCTGTGCTCACCGTTGCCAGCTCGGTGTCCGACTTCTCCTCCTCCTCAGTCTCGAAGTCCTCTCGCTCCAGCAAGGGTGGGGAGCTGCACTCTGCCCGACATGAAAGAAAGAAAATGGTGTTCACCTTCAAATGTTCAAAGGGTCATGACCACGTGAATTAATTTCTAAGTGATTGACTTTACAAACCATAGAAACTGTCTTCACACGTCTCCTCTGTGATGCTTTCGGACTCTTGCTTCTCTTCTTCGCTGGTGCCACTCCAGTCTTCCTCAATGGGTTCCACTCTCCTCTTCTTCTGGGGGAGGATATCTTTCTTTGAGGGTCCCTCAGACCCACATATGGACACCCTCTGTCTGCTCTTCCTCCGGGCCAGACGTCGGTACAGACTGCCTCGTTCACCCTGGTCCACGTCTGTACTCATGGATCGGGTGAGGGAGAGTCGTAATCGAGGGGGGGGTTTCTCCGAGGCCTTGCTTGCACTTCGGAGGTCCATGGCAAAGATGTTCTGTGGCAGAGCAAAAGTCCAAAATCATTAATGTGTTCATTTTGAGACAACAGTTAAACAATGTTAGAGACACAATTCTGTCAAATGTGCAGAAAACTACCTTAAGTGTCGTACTTCCATTTGTCCCTAATGAGTTTATTTAGGAGTGTTGCATAAAGCCTATTTTATTTATACGGTAGTGTAGATGTGCACTTCATTTACCATTGTTAGGCTTTACTCACTTAAAGGTAGGTAAGTTTGAGAAACCGGCTCGAGATACACTTTTTGTTATATTCCATGGAATGCTCTTAACATCCCGATAGCAATGAATATCTTAAGTGCTTTGACAATAAATCCATAAAAAATGTCATCTGTGGAAGCCGTGGCGCTGTAAAAAGCACGACCAATCATTTTAACCGGCCAGGCTAAAGTAACTGGATGGCCTACCTGCCTGTCAGCCTTCCATCTGTGCACAAACTTATCTCGTGCCCTCATTGATCATGTGCGTTCGTGTGTGTTGGAGGAGGGGCTCTGTAAGGAAGTGGCAGATTTTTTCAAATTCTAGCGCACTCACTCGAGCTGGTTTCTCCAAAATTACCTACCCCACCTTTAATAGCATTACTGTCAGTGTTAGGTCGTATCCATGTAGCGTCTTTTTTGGCAGTAGGTGATACCAAGGAAGCTGGCTGATGAAGGAGACGAAGTAAGCTAGGTAGCCAGTATAAGGCTTAGCAGTACAGATACAGTGGGGCAAAAAAGTATTTATTCAGCCACCAATTGTGCAAGTTCTCCCACTTAAAAAGATGAGAGGCCAGTAATTTTTATCCTAGGTACACTTCAACTATGACAGACAAAATGAGAAAAAAAAATCAGGAAAATCACATTGTCTGATTTTTAAAGAATTTATTAGCAAATTATGGTGGAAAATAAGTTTTTGGTCAATAACAAAAGTTCATCTCAATACTTGTTATATACCCTTTGTTGGCAATGACAGAGGTCAAACGTTTTCTGTAAGTCTTCACAAGGTTTTCACACACTGTTGCTGGTATTTTGGCCCATTCCTCCATGCAGATCTCCTCTAGAGCAGTGTTGTTTTGGAGCTGTCGCTGGGCAACACGGACTTTCAACTCCCTCCAAAGATTTTCTATGGGGTTGAGATCTGGAGACTGGCTAGGCCACTCCAGGACCTTTAAATGCTTCTTACGAAGCCACTCCTTCGTTGCCCGGGCGGTGTGTTTGGGATCATTGTCATGCTGAAAGACCCAGCCACGTTTCATCTTCAATGCCCTTGCTGATGGAAGGAGGTTGTCACTCAAAATCTCACGATACATGGCCCCATTCATTCTTTCCTTTACACGGATCAGTCGTCCTGGTCCCTTTGCAGAAAAACAGCCCCAAAGCATGATGTTTCCACCCCCATGTTTCACAGTAGGTATGGTGTTCTTTGGATGCAACTCAGCATTCTTTCTCCTCCAAACACGTCTAGTTGAGTTTTTACCAAAAAGTTCTATTTTGGTTTCATCTGACCATATGACATTCTCCCAATCCTCTTCTGGATCATCGATGCTCTCAAG